TTCGATCCAGAGTTCTGCGAGTTTTGTTGCTTGTTTGTGACTCGGTACACCCAGTCCACTGATGACTTTATTCGGGTGCAGGCAGCTCATGCATTGCACACTTGTTTTAGGCTGCTGCAGTGCGCTAGGTTGTTTGCTGATCTGGAAGCCCTGAGGCTGCCCCATTTTAGTTATAGGGACCCGGACATGGGGGTGTTCGTTGCTTCGACGTTGGTTCAGTCCGCGTTCCCTCGTTCTTCCCTATGCTATGGTTCATCCTGGTCCTCCTCTCGTTCTTCTGGCTCCAAAATGTCTGAGGGTTTTGGAGTCGGGCCAGGGTTTAGTTGGTTTCGAGACTTGGGCAATCTTGGGGGCTGCCCCTTCCAGAGTGGTGACTAAAGCCTTCGAGCCGGATCCTCCTGCTGAAGCATCTGGGTCTGACCAGTGGGCCCCCTTCCTTCCTGCTTTACCGGCTGCTTCGACTTCTTCTTTTGAGGCTGGGGCTTTGGGGGGATGGCTCGGCCCCAGGTCCTGCTGTAGGGGTTCCCGGGGCAGAGGAGGGGTTGACTTTGGGGCCTTGGGTCCCGTTAGACCCCACTTGAGTTTTTTGTGCTCTCTAAGCGGGGCTTGTTGTTTCAGGGAGTGGGGTTTTCCTTTCCCCTCTCCGCATACGAGTTGGATTTGGTGTTAGCCCCTCCCCGGGTTCGGTTCAGTGTCCCTTTGGGTCCGTCAGTCCCATCCTTCTGGAGGTTTTTGGCTTCCTGCATCCTGCCTCATGAGGTGCAGGAGGCCATTGCGGCTTACCTCCTGTGCGACCCGGATTATGCCTCTTTAATGGCTCTGTCTTCATTCAGGTTTGGATCTTCGTTTCCTTACTAGGTTTGTTATGAGGTTCTGGAGTCGACCTGGCTTTCGGACTGCCCTGTTTCTTCGTTGGAGGCTTGGCATATGTTCTGTCATTCCTGCACGCTTGACTGGCGTGAGGCTTTGCTGGTGGTCCAGGTTTATCTAGGGGGTGAGTTTGAGCACCTCAATGTGTACTTGTTTCCCCCTTTCCTTTCTCGGATGTTGGCATTGTGCAGCTTCACGTGCAGATTCCCACCCTTTCGGCTGCTCTGGTTGCTGAGGTTTTGCACGCTCATGGCCTGTTGGCTTCGGTCCCACATTTCTTCTCTCTCCTGGAGCTGTCCTCGGATTGGCTTGTGGAGAATGTGGAAGCGCTTGGGGCCATTCCTGGGTTTGGTGCCTTGGTCTCGGCAGCACGTGCGTCGTCTTGCCTGTTGTAGTCCAATGTCAAGCTTGTTGGTTCTCCAGGGGCCCATGGGGGGGGGGGGTCTTCCCGGAAGGGCTGTGCTAGGGCTTGGGGTTCCTCCCATTGTGATAAGCCAGTGGTGTCATTTTCGGGGCTGGCTCGGCCATCAGAGTCATTTTCGTCTGGTCGATGCAGTGATCGCTTTGTGTGAAGGTCAGGTTCTCGTAAAGGACATTGGCCCTTTCGTGGTTCATTCCATCTGAACCCCCTGGGTCTATTGCCTCTTCTTTCGGATGACTACTCTGTCCTAGGTCCGGCGTCTTTTGGAGCCGAGCATTTGGATGATGTCCCTGGACCTCTGGGACACTTATTGGCACGTCCCGATTCATCTGGGGTTCAGGGCATGGCTCGGTTTTGTTGTGGGACATTGGGGTTACTGCTTTCATTGCCTTCCTTTCAGCTTGAATCTGGCGCCATGCGTTTTCACATGCTTTACCCGGGTCGTGGTGGCCAGTCTGCATCTCTTAGGAGTTCGAGCTCTTGCCTATCTCGACAACTGTCTGGTGTGGGCTTCCAGCCAATCTGCGTGTCTGCTTGCCAGGGATTTGGTTCTTTCCCAGCTTGCCAAGTTCTGCTTCCTGGTGAACTGGAGGAAGTCTCGTCTGGTTCCCTCTCAGGTTCCCGGAGGTGGACCTCTTCACGTCGGCATGGTTGAGGCGTCTCCTGATATACGTGGCACCCTTCCCCGACTGCAAAGGCTGTCGGGGTCGATGCCTTGTGGCAGGACTGTTGACGCAAGGCAACAGTTCGGTTTAATATTGTTATTAAAAGAAGGGTGACACGTCATGCAATCTCTGAAGAATCGATTAACACCTGTACCTCCTATCAGATTGTTTTACAGGAACTTCTTTTTGACGGCTCATAAAATGGAGGAAAGTGTACTGAAAGATATTATTGATAGAAATGTTATCCTCACAGACACAAATCAGAAGATACAATTAACAATTTACTACAAAAAC